TGCTAATTTTCCCCTCAGAAAGAGCTTCAGGGAAGTGAAAAGTCTGAAGGCATCTCAATAAATACTTTTCAAACCACGCTGTCTGCCTGGCAGCCTGCACAATCTCCAAATTGACAGGCTGCACATCTCAAAGCCTACCAAGAGTGCACAGCCTTGCTGGTGACCTGGTCTTGAAAGGCCGAACAGCAAGCGATTGCCATCAGTGGACTGTCACTGTCAAGGTGGCATCCCAAAGCAGGATTAGTGGAGCAGCAGGACAGTGTTGATTCCAGCTTTTCCCCTCTAAGAAAGGAATTTCTGCCAGCCAAGCACCTTTCACCTGCATCCATCTGCTCAGACCGTGACTTACTTGGGCTTAAGTCTACTGATACGAAAAAAACAAGACAAACAAGAAAGCAGTCCAGTTTGGTGGGAGTTTTTTAACGTATTTCATGGAAACATTACTAATCATGATCATATTTTAGGTATTTATTATACATTACACTGCTTTCATCTCTCTGAGCAAAATATGATCCTTAGCTGTATGTTATGGTATCAGGTTGTAAACCAAGTCTCTCTTCCAGGTACTCTACAATATCGATAATGGAATTTCTTTCATTAAGTGTATTTTACTCAGAAATGTTTTCCAGAAAACACATTTTCAAAAGTGCACTTATGCTTTTAACACCAGACAGAGCTGGCTCCATTTTTCAAAACCCCACTTATAGGACTGCTGCCAGATATGGTACATGATGAACCTGAACAACTTAAGCCTAATGAGAAATAATCTCAGTTGAGAAATACCTTATGAAAGAACTTGTTTGTTCATTCTTCAGGTCTTTTTCTTTCTTGCTTGCCTGCTCACTTTCGTTGCTTTCTCTGAAAGCAACAGCTCCACTGTGTACAACATCTAAATTTATTAAGGGTCACAGCCTATGAATCAAGAGTAGGGCAAACGCAACATGCTTTTTTATATCAGCTACATTAACTACTCCAAATATTCCAGCTCAAGATCTGCAGAGAAAGTGCTGTTAGTCCCTCTGGTACTCTCAAAACACTGTACTTATACCTCTACCACACTTTCTCAATATATTTTACTGGTTTTAAGACTTAGATAATTTAATTATACTATTTTTATTAACTTTACTAGTGGAGGAATTTGTATTTTTCCTAGCTTCTTGTCTTAATGAGAATTTCAGATAACTCCAAGACCTTGCACTCAGACAGAGTAACGTATCAGATTCTTAATAATGAAATCTAAAGCCTTTCACCCCAACAAAACAGGTTCACGTTCACCCAAAGCCCCTGTAGTCACAGTATCCAATCTGGAAAAACACTTTAGCACATGCCTAACTTCACATATGTGAGCAGGCCGTTGACTTTTGTGGGATAGCTCACATATGTGACGCTATATGCATAAGCACCAAGGTCACAGCTCAAAACTTGGCTATGCGATGGTCACTCTGGGGATCAATATTGGCTGTACGCACCAGTAAAATCCTCGGTATCTATTTTGCAGGTCTGATGGCAACACAGTCCCACACATGGAGTTAAAGGGGGAGAAAGGAGCACCAGAGATGGACTGAAACCACCCCCACCTGCACTGCCACTTCTGGTACCATCCTCTGCTCAGAAGGAAGCAGAGAGGATAGCCTCTCCAAAACATATAGCACAGGGGAAAGAAAGTGGGAGGGGTGAACCTCTAAAAATGCCAGGCATTTCCAGATACTCTGCACAAGCACAGACCAGCAACACCGCTGGCTCTGCCTTCCAGAGGCAGACAGGAAAGAGGGAGAACAGCTTTTGGCTTCCCAACCCTCAATGAGTCAGCTTACAGAGTTTGCTGGGCAGGAAGAGTAGAGAAATAAGCTGCTCTCTTCAAGGCTGCAATAAATTACCTGTCTCCTTTCGCTGGAAAGAGGATTTATACTCACTCTCCGAA